CAATAGGAAAGAACATTTCAAAATGACATTGAAAGTCCGGATGATCAATAAGAGACAACATTGAAGTATTTGACTTTGACAATTAAAAACAACCATAATTTTGACCATTAGAAATCGACCAATAGGATTATACTTCCAAAAATAGTACTCTTAGGATATTTGGTGAAGAATATCCTAACAACTGGACGGCTATTTCGTTCTATTGTGTAATTTATCAGTTACAGTGCGCATCCACAACCTCGCAAACATGAATCAAACTCAGAATCTTCAGCGTTATATGCGTATTGGATGCGCAGCAGTTATTAATCAAAGACAATAGATGATAGTTAGACATTGATACCACTGGATGACAATGACTCAGTGATCGATATTAGATTAAGTGAAGGTTTCAGCGTTCGATTCTACATGATGAGAGATGATGGATACACACTGTTAGGATATTCATCCAATATCCTAAGAGAATTATTGGTCTATTCCTATTGGTTAATTCCTACTGGTCAATTTAATTGTCGTCCTGGATATCACTGTCACCTGCTCCAATGTTGTTTCTTATTGGTCATCCTGACTATGAATGTCACCTCAAATGCTGTTCTTATTGATCATCTTAACTGTCAATGTCACAGACTTCGATCCTGTTTCCTATTCGACCAAAATGTATAAATACGCATTATCTGTAACGTTTTATGACCAAGACGAGGACCCGGTCCCGGATCCTTAGTCCAGGATCCTGATTCTATTCTGGATTCGGACCTCGTACTTTCTGGATGCTTGTAGAATACAGGTTCTACTTCATATCAAGTCTTCTTATTTTTACTAAATATAGGGGTTGGAATAATCGGATTTGAGTAGCATGTCGTGTCACCGGATTCTCAGTCCTCGCTCTCGCGTTTCCAACTAGGTATAAACTCGTGATAGTTCAACTATATCAAGTTGACATGTTCACATGCAGGTGTAACACACACTGCCAGTGATTTAATTGTTACTTGATCCTTAGTGAACATTTGTACACTACGTTAGTCGTATTGACTACTGACAGACAGTGAACACCAGGGATGTAAATTACCACTAAGGAATCCTATACTCGGCCAAAATGGCCATTCAATGCTTTCAGATTTCTTCCACTACTAGTAGTAGTCTAACAATCAATCATTAAATCATTATTTCAATGAAAATTAATAATCTTCATTAATAATTACATTTCATTAATGAATTAATTCATTAATTAACTTACCTTCAAATATAAATTTTAATTGACAATCAATGAATAATTTTTGTAAAAAAATTTCATATTAATTTACCTATCATCTTTAATTAAGGTTGTCATTAATAATAATAATAATAATAATAATAATAACTACCAATAAGTTTTCTTACAGAGTAGAAAAAAATAGCCACCACTGTAATATATACCAGAAACAAAATATGAGTAGTACTCATAGTAGTAGTATTATGAGTAGTATTGTGAGTAGTAGTAGTAGTAGTACTTAGAGTGAATTTTCATATTCAACCTAATTTATACATCTCAATAGTTGTTATCAATGTAAATCCCATTTTACAGCCATACACATACATATGCACACACATACACACAGAGTTTGATTTAATTAGTCTAATCAGTACTGCGCTCGTTTATATTAATCTGTATAATAATAATAGTCACTACTATATTGAGTATATATATATATATATATATATATATATATATATATATATACATATTTAAGTGAGTAACACAACTGTATATAATGATATTCAATTAAACTATGTGCCGGTTAGTTATTTATTCATTTTGAAAAGTATTTATCTAGTTAACTTTCATTCACTCTCACTTGTCATTACTGACAGTTGATAAAACCGATGACGTTCATAATAATAATAATAATCAGGATGATTACAAATATTTACATTTTTGTGTATAAATTCATTAGAAATTAAGAGAGAGAGAAAGAGAGAGAGGATGAGATGAGAGAAAAAAAATGTAATTATTTAAGTATTCACATATAATTAATTGAATAAATAAATTGTTGGTCAATTAATTAGTTAGTTAGTTAGTTAGTTTGGTGATTGTTCAGTGATTGAATAAGTCAATAAACTTTATCAACAAATACAGTACTAATGATCTATCTATCGATCTATTTGATTTCGATCAATTTGGTCTCGTGTGCTGTTACGGGTATGAGGGCGGTTGTCACTTCTCGGTTGCCCACACCGTGGAAGGTTGTTTCTTTAGGAAATTGAAAAGGAAGGTAGATTAGTGTTGGTCTTAGAGACCTGGGTGCGTGACCGCAGAGTCCAAGAGACAACTGATTGAGGCCAGTCACGCACGGCCTTTTTATGAAAGGTATTTAGAGGATTAGCTCCGTTCTTAAAGGCCCATAGTGGGCACCCTTACCGACGGAGACGGAAATCCGTGAGTTAGGGGAGGTGTGACATTTTTAGGGTCGACATTTTCTAACACTCCCTTCCTTGTGAGAAGGCAGCATCGCTGCAGATGCTGGTTGTCCGAGAGAAACACCTTACTGCTGTCACACCTCTCTGCAGTCAGCAGTACGACTTCGCCCTCAGACCTTCAATAGCTGCTTTTAGTCTCATCGTTCTCCAATCGAACTGCTTGCTTGGCATGGTAGAACCTTCAGGAACATAAGTTCCAGCCAGTATAGCTCGGTTGGGTCATCACGATAGACAAGCCCGACCACCACGTCAAGGTAGCAGCTACAGTCTATTGAACTATTTGGAAGCGCTGAACAGCTGTTTCGTCCGACTATGACATTCAGCACTGGCAACGCAAATCCACGACCCTCGCATGCGATTTGTCTATCACTCTATCCATCGGTAGTTAATTTGACCTACGCTATGTTTATATATTTGTTAAGTATCAAGTGACATTGACATATATATATATATATATATGTATATATATATATATATATATATATATATATATATATATATATATATATATCAGTCAGTTGCAACGTACAACTTCGTATGTATGTACATAAGTTCATGTTGCCATATCACATTAGCACAGAGACACAAATGTCCAATCAAATCCCATAGTGATAAAGATAGAAGAGGTATTAATGGTAATGAAGAAGACTAGAGTGTGAATATATTATTCAAGTAGTATAATTCAGTGAGATAAGGATAGAAAGATAAAGGTAGATGTGCTGACCGATCCAGATAATTAGGATTTGAGAGAGCTCAAAGAATGGATGCACTTGCGCCATTGCAAACGATTTTAAGCCATGTCGTTCACGGTCTCTAACCAATGGTGACTTTCGTCTCGCGGACCCCAACATGACTCAGTCCACTTGTCAGTGACTTCATGGATTTCTGTCATGTTTTGGTTTGGCCGCCCCTAGCTTTCTTCCAACCCATACTACTACACCATAGCAAAACATAGCTCGCCGAGGCAGTCGGTGATTAGGCATACCTAACACATGTCCCAACCACCTCAACTGATGAAGTTTCACCACTTCATCTATTGATCCGCCATCCTTACCTAGCACCTGTTAAACTAAACTTAAACTACCAAGAAATATCTTTTTTGAACATTGTACATTGAATAAATATATCTATTATTAAAAATTGAATAAATTTTAAAAAATTTTTACAATTATCACACACATTTTCTATCTCATCTTAGTGTGTTTTTATGTCTATTTATTTATATTTTTGAAAATTATTTTTTGTGGCACTTTTTTAAATTTTTTTCTACATTAAATGATCAATTTTTTTTTATTTATTTATGTGTTGTACAATTTTCAATATTTTTTCGTTTTTGAGTTTCGAATTCAATTCATCTTCCTTGATGTATCGTTTTTTTTTCGAAAAAAAAACTAGTCAGTTAACACACTCTGTGCATAGGTGCATGCATACCATCGCACACTCACTCACATACGAACATGGTTTATGCACACATGTGATGAGTATGTGTGCGTGTGTGTGGGCGTGTGTACAGCTGTCTTGCATGAGTTTCTTGTGAATGCCAAATAAAGAGTAGTTAAGTCATTGACAAAAAAATTTTAACGAACACGACTTTACACACTTTACACACACACAGACACAAATTTGTTAAGATGACGGTGTTTTTCTCTCTTTTCCGTAATTTTTCAAAATCTTCATCTCATAGATAATTGTTTCGAAAAACAATTTCTCAATGAAAGTTATCTTTGTATTTGTGTTGTCTTATGAGTTTTAAAGTTATTTATTCTCTTACATACTCATACACACACCCACACACACAGACAGTCTGTTCATTTGAAAATGATATTATAAACACATGGTTTCGATCAATAATTATATACATATATATATTCTCAATGTTAATTAGATCTATGTACTCAATGCATGAATGCATTGAAATTCTGTACAATGACTTTGAAACTACTTGTTTTCCGATTTAAGTAGTATTTCTTAGCCATTAGAAATTGAAAAAAATTAAAAATAAACAATGCTGTCACGTGTAGGCAGTAACCATGGAAGGTAGTAGTGGGTGAGATTGATTAGAGGTAGTTGTCCAGGGATTAGGGCATTCGCGCACAAAATACGAAGGTCCTGGGTTCGAATCCCGCATGTACACTGCCAGTGGATGAGTCCCATGCCAGGATGAAACGGCCGTTTTCCATTGCTTCCTGGCTTCTCTCTCTCTAATATTCGTCTAACAGTGGGTGAGATTATGCAAAACTCCTTAGTTTGATCCGAGTTAGATATTAACACTGTTGGATGACAAGTGACTCCGTTTTTTCAGAGACTAAGTATTCTCGCACAAAACTGAAGGTCCTAGGCTCGGATCCCGTGTGTAACCGGAGGCGTGGATGCGCACTGCCAGTGATGACTCCCAAACTAGGATGAAACAACCGTCTTCCGGTGCTTCCCGGTTTCTCTCTCTAATGATTCATTCATAATTTCAATATGTACAACCAATCATCTCCATAAAACTATCTTCAATACAAAATAAACCGGTTTTCTATTTATTTCTAAATTTTTTTTATTAGGCATCCTCTATTTCCTTTATTGGCATTAATATTTGAAAAATGTGAATTGGCCACATGTACACCAAGGGATCCAATGTCAGTGGCTGCTGCTGCCGCGGCAGCTGCTGCAGCCGCTTCCGTATCTGGTCATACTACTGGTAATCCAACTACTACTAATACGACAAACACTGGGAATATGGAAGTTTGGTCATCGGAATCATTTAATGAAGATATTATTGTATTTGCTAAAGAAGTAAGTTTTGCCAAAAATTTTTATGTTGTTGATTATTTTTCACTGAAATATTTCAGTGATTACGTCTTGATTGGTTTTTGTTTTTTTAAAAAAAAAAGTGTTCTTAACCTGTGGTGCGCGCTACTTTTAAGTAGTATATGATGCGAGTGAAAACGTAATGTCTGGCAGCAGAAGATGTGGGGGGGGGAAGATCAAGAAAGGAAGAAGGGTGGGAACACAATGGAATTTGTATGAAACGCATGAATAGTGAATTGTCAGACAATGGAGATGATGATGTATTGAAGATTTGCAAATTAACGGTGGTTACGATATGGTTTTCCTATTTTACTGAGTAACTCTGTAATTGGCGATAAATACAATTCGGTTGCCCTCACCTGTGTTCACCTTCACTACAAACCTATCGAATGAATTTACTGAGGAATTTGAGTATGATGTGGTGCTGTACGAGGAAGACAATTCATTGAATAAGAAGTTAACGAATACATACTCGATTGGATTCTTGGTGTGTTTTTTTAGGGGGGGGGGAAGTGGGGGGTGTTGATGGATGGGTTATGTTTACAGAAAAATTTATGAGTCGCTGATTAAAAGAAGTTATTGGTCCACTATTATTTACTGACAGTCGGTGTACAACTGACACTAACCAGTTGGAATGATCTCCTGGAATTTGAAGACAAATGAAGATAAATAATCCAATAAGGATGTAATGAATACATTATTTAGTTACGCCTGTCACCCCCTCCCCTTGTATGGAGCATAGGCCGCCAATCAGTTTTCTCCAACCTACTCTGTCTTGGGATTGCTGTTTCAGTTCTGTCTAATTTCTGTTCATTCTTCTCATATTCTTCTCTATCTATTGGTGTACTGTGTTCTTTGGCTTCGCTCTTTTCCTTTGACACTGAGGACTCCAAATGATGGTTTGCCTTGTGAGGCAGTTGTGTGCTTTCATCAGTGTGTGTGTGTGTGTGCGTGTCCTATCCACTTCCACAGCTGGAATCTGATTTGTTCTTTCTCACAGTAGATTGTTACTGATGGTGTCTTGATTTAACAAATACATACCCAATTGGATTTGTGGTTTTTTATGGGGTGGGGATATGATGACTGTTTACGGATGCATCAAAATTTATGAGTCTTTGATTAAAATAAAATACCGACTGATTATTTACTCATAGTCAATGGTTATTTAAGTAAAGATCAGTTGTTTTTTTATTTACAGTCAGTATGTCAGTAACCATCACTTTGTGAAACAAGCAGGTTTGCAATTATCAGTTCTCGCATCTTTTCTGGTTGTAGGATGCAATCCGATGTCCAAATACTCTTCTCTCTCCCTCTCTCTCTATAGTAGTAACTTGTTAGCAACACTTCACCCTGTTTGAAAGTATACACACAAACATACATATACCTGCTATACATACACACACACACGCACAGCACAAACAAACAAACAAACGGAAACAGATTTCCAATTGATTTCCTCTTTCTCTCATCAGATATATATAGATATATAGATATATATTCCAGTTTCCAAGATTCAGGTTGTTAGCGATTTCATTTGGTAATTAATTGTGACTTAATTAATTAACAGTTGTATTTTTTGTCGTATATAAAAAACTGTACATCGATAAACACATACGCACACAGACACACACACATACCAAACTCAAAACATGGATTCGCTCATAGAGTAATCAAAGAAATATATATATATATACCATTCATATATCTATTCCTATTAAACTGTTAGAACTATAGATAAGAATTGATTAGGAAAGTACACAGATAGAAAGAGAGCGAGAGATCAACAGTTAAAAAAATGACATCTGTTCCTACTTTTCTACTGGAGATCTGTCTTTTTCTAAAAAATAAACAAGTAAACAAGAGGAAAGAAACAAACTCATCCTAATTGATAATGCTGATTGCAGGTTGCTTATGTTTTCTCCTTGTAGATTTGTATTGAAATTTAATTGATTTAAGATGTAAACAAAACATATGATTATCATTGATCCGTGCATGTACTACACACACACATACACACTTGAGTTTTAAGAGGTATAGATGTGTTCGAAGTATTGCTCGCGTATCATGGGACAACCGCGAGTAAGCAATGCTGTCGTTAGGAAACGAGTACTAGGTAGGGATAGCAGATTAATAGATGAAGTAATGAAACTTCATCAGTTGGGGTGGTTGGGACATGTGCTGCGTATGCCTAACCACAGACTGCCGCGACGAGCTATGTTCTGTGATGTAGGAATAGGTTGGAAGAAAGCTAGAGGCTGCCATACCAAAACATGACACAAATCTGTGAACTCACTGACAAGTGGTCCGTGTCATATTGGTAGATGTAGACTACCTGGTTGGGGTCCACGAGATGAAAGTCACCAACGGTTAGAGACCTTGAACGAGAGGGCTTAAAATCGTTTGAAATGGCGTAGGTGCGTCCACTATTTTTGTTCTCTATAATCTTCTGAACTCCTGATCACTTTTATCACTTAATTATACTTCTTGAATCATATCTTCGAACCCTAGTCTTCTCGGTCACCGTTAAATACTGCTACTACTTTTACCACTATGGGAACTGAGTTAACAATTCCACTTGAGATGATGTATATACATACGAAGTTCTACATTATTGCTGACTGACTGACTAACTGACTAACAATGGAATCCAAGCAGCCTATTTTATTCTACTTCAAAACATATCAACCCCATATACTTTCTTTCATCTCAAAAATTTAAATTAATTTCCCCTAAACATCAAACTGAAAATTGCTGCTTCAAAGTTGATTTATTTCACAAATAGAAAGTAATTTCAATTGAGACCAACTAATAACTTACTTACTTACTTATTTACTTACTTACGCCTGTTACCCCCAATGGAGCATAGGCCGCCCACCAGTTTTCTCCAACCAACTCTGTCCTAGGCTTCCGTCTTCAGTTCTGTCCAACGTTTGTTCATTCCTCTCATATCTTTCTCTATTCCTCGGCGTAGTGAGTTCTTTGGCCTTCCTCTTTTGCTTTTGCTTTGAGGGTTCCATGTGAGGGCTTGTCTCGTGACTCGGTTCGATGCTTTTCGTAGTGTGTGTCCTATCCACTAACTCCACCGCTTCTTCCTTATTTCCTCCTCCACTGGAATCTGGTTTGTTCTCTCCCACAGTAGGTTGTTGCTGATGATGTTTGGCCAACGAATCCGAAGTATTTTGCGTAGACAACTGTTAATAAATAATTGTATCTTCTGGATGATGATTGCTTTCGTAGTTCTCCAAGTTTCCCCTCTATTCAGTAGAACTTTCTTGACATTTGTATTAAAAATCCTGATTTTGGTTTTTTGTTGAAAGTTGTTTGGTAGTTCCAGATATTTTTCAACTGTAGAAATGTGCAGCCCTTGCTTTGTCAATCCACCAACTAACCTACTACTACTACTTACATCAGTATATACTTACTGCTCATTGTACAAATATGTATACATTTATCGTGCTTTTTTCTTTAATAAATTTTAGCTAAGAAAGAATTCACATTCATGCCAAATAAAATGTATCTTTTTTGAGATATATATATATATATATACATATGCATATATATCATTGGAAATTAGATTTTGGTCTTTTGTATAAGCTGCTCATTTATCAATCTGTTTTGTGAAACATCTCTCTCCATATATCTATCTATCTATCTATCTATCTATCTATCTATCTATCTATCTATACATATATATATATATATATATATATATATACATATTACTCGTACATAAAAACATACATTGTCCACTATCTGGTCCAGTCGTCGATAACTGGGCCCACATTCTATTATTACCATTATTGTTATTATTACTAATATTACTATTACTATTATTATTATTATACAATCAAAATAAAAAAAGGGAATAACGCAGAACCCTATTCTCCTCTTTTTCGTCATTGTTACTGTTATTATTATTGTTATGTGGTCTTGTAATTACGCCCTATACAGTTTAGTTCAAGTATCAATTTTCTTACAGTAAGATATATGTATACACCATACACATGGCTGGCTAACTAACAGATATGTATGCTTGTACAATTTTTGTATGTGTGTCTGAGCATATATAATCTAATCAACTGGTTTTCCCTTTTACATTCATTTGCCTAGTTTGAATTATAAACACTCCTATGCAAATGTACTTACATAGATACATACATATTATACTAAACCGCTCAGATGAATTTGCATGTGTGTGTGTGTGTGAGCTACTGAGAGAGCGGGAGCGATAGCGGTAGCGAGCAAGCGGGAGAGTAGGATTTTTCAAAAATTTAGTCCACATCTGTTTTATATAAATAATAAAAATATAGAGAAATAGAGAGATAAAAATTAAGTAAGAATAAAAAAAAACAGAATCTTATAATACCCAGCGAAACAAGTTAAAAAAAAAGATAAGAAAGAGCGAAATGAATTCAGAATAAGTCAGTCAGTTATTTATTAGTATTACGCCATGTGTGGAGAATTCAATTTTGTTTGCTTGCCAGATTTTTTTTTCATGTATCTATAAGTTGATTTATTGGGCAAGTTAGATCCCTAGAACTCACTTGATAAATGCGAGCATGGACTGGTCAGTTGACATTGAATTAACATATTTCCCACCAGCAAAAATCCTTAGCTGTGATTGGTTGCTGTGCTAATTTTGTGACTCTCCCAACGATGTTTCTATGATATATAAAGAAACGAGATTTGTGTGCTTGCTGGGTGTTTGTAGAATATACTTTCTACGTTATATCAAGACTTCTCGTTAGCTGTTTTGAGTCAACAAATCGAAGTAGCCTACCTGAACCCTGGTTCATTGTCTCGTTCTGGTTTATCGACAAAAGTGAACCCGTAATAGTTTCAAGCATACCTAGTGACCAACCTAACATGATTATAACATAGTGGCATGGAGTGGAATTCAAGAGGCATGTGTTTTTTCCTATTTCGAACTTTGTCAGATGTTTGGTTACTCCAGGACTCGAACCCAGTGCGCCGTTATAATGTTTTCTTCTGTTTTCAAACAATCACTAACTAATTATTCAATGAATAATGATTTTTATAATTTCCCACCAGGAAAATCCTTAGCTGTGATTGGTTGCTGTGTGTATTTTAGTGAGCTATTTTTTGTGATTGTGACGTTTCTATGATATATAAAGAAACGAGATTTGTGTGCTTGATACCATTGAGTTGGCCGGGTGTTTGTAGAATATACTTTCTACTCCATATCAAGACTTCTCGTTAGCTGTTTTGAGTCAACGAATGAAAGTAGCCTACCTGAATGCTGGTTCATTGTCTCGTTCGCGTTTATTGACTAAGGTTTTAAGAATTCAAGAGGCATGTGTTTTTTCCTATTTCGAACTTTGTCAGATGTTTGGTCACTCCAGGACTCGAACCCAATGCGTCGTTCACCTCAACTAGTAGTGTTCATTGAGTTATAATGTTTGCATTTTTTTTCAAAAAAAAAATCACTAACTTATTCTATGTATGATGATTTTTTTTTTATGTTTCTCTCTTCTCTTCACTTTTATTTTGCTTCATTTAGTTAGTGAATTCTCAAAAAACTATTCGTACTGGTGATCCTGAATTAGATTCTTTGGTAAGTGAATAATAATGTATACACAAAGGGTGTTTTTATTCATTTCTCATGGAATTGTGTTGGTCAGTGTACGTTAATGGAGTGATTTTATAACTTCAGTCGTTGGTTGGTTTACGTTTAACCCGAAGGTACCTTGTGTGCTAGGGGGTTAGGCATGTGAGGAGCAGCAGCGTATGAGATTATCTGGAAGAAGCCGACGACTCTATAAGCATACAGAATGATGCACTTACATGTAATATAAGAATAAACAGACCGCAACCAGATGATATAGAGCCAACGTGAGAGAGATTAAGACAAACTAATAAACGAAACCTAGGAGTTGATAGAGTAAGGTTTTTTCGAATGCGTTACAATTTTAGTAGTAGTTGAAATATGTGAAGATCTTGCATTCCTTCAACTAAACTATGCTGGTCAACTACTTACTTAAAGATATTCTCAAAGTCAATGTTTAAGGTTGTGTAGATAGTTGAGTTTCGTTGAAATCCTGAACCAGTTAACTTTATACTGCCGTCAGAAACCTGAAAGCTTTGGCCTAATCGTTTTTGTACACTAGAATGAAACAAAACACCATTTATATCTTTCAAACAAACCACTCTCATAATAATAAGATAAATTACTCAACAATGCACATCTCTCTTCAACATTGAACATTCATTCTATTTTGTGTTCATTTTGTTTAAAATGACATTAAATTTCAACTAGACCGTGTTTTTTTGGTGGGTTTTTTAAAATAAATTAATCACATTTATTTTTTTTCATTTATGGCGCCTTATTCTCGTAGGTTTTTTTAAAAAAAATCGTTTAAAACAAAAAAATATATCTTAATATATATATAAATATGTATCGATTACATGAATTTGAAAAAAAAATTATTTTCTAAATTTAATCTATTTTTTTTTAGTGATGGAATTTTTTTTTCTCTGCATTTCGAAAAATATAAATTATCCTTGATTTAAAAAAATGTACATGTGTATGTTTGTGCGTGTGTGTGTGTAAGTTTATAGGTAACTGATACATTTAAGTGCGTGCGTATGTGTATATATTTATCATGTAAGTAAACACACACATACACACATTCGACATTATGGAATGAATAACACGCCAGTAAATAAAAAAACAAATTGAATTGATAAACAAATCATTTTTGGCATATACGAAAAACCCAGTTTAAGTAATCTGATCCTAGAACTGTTGTTTCTACGACCAACAACAACTACAACTGAAATTCATAATAGTAATAATAATAATAACGTCATAGATCATATTTTTCCCTACATTTAGACAATGGTGAATTACTGAAACATACGCACTCATTCACTCACTCACACACACACACATACACACACAGGCATACATACACAGACACAAAGAAGACAGCCGTGGCTTCGAATGATAATCGACTGCGTGTGTGTGTGTGTTTATTGTTCAACAGTCTGTCAGAATCTCACTTTCAACCATCTAGCCATTCATCCATCCATCCATCCGTCTGTCCGAACACACAGGAACATTCACTCGTTTTTCATTAATTATTTTTTGCTATGCATCACTCTCTCTCTCTCTCGCTTTGGTTTATTATCATTACGAGTTTCATTTAATTGTTGGCTTTGTTTTTGTTTGTTGTAGATTATTCAAGCAATTCAAGTTCTCCGATTTCATCTTCTTGAAATCGAAAAAGTAAGTGTTTTAGATTTATTTTTGTGTGTGTGTGTGTGTTGGGGTTAATTAAAAAAATGTTTACTGATTAATTTATCGTTTTATCTAAACTTGCAATGGGTGAGGTTGCGCAAAATCCATAGATCGACCAGAGTTAGACATGAACACTGTTGGATGCTGGCCCGGTGGTCTAACGGTTAGGCGTTCGCGCACATTACGGAAGGTTCAGGGTTCGAATTCTTCGAGGGGCAGGAGTCGTGGATGCTCACTGCCACTTATGAGTCTCATGCCAGAACGAAACGGTTGTCCGGTGCTTGTGGGTTTCTAATGTTAGTCTAACAATGATTGGTTGATGATTTCAAATATGTAAAAACACAAACCTCCAAATCTCTAACTGAAAATATCGTAACAGTGCTCACTAGTGACTAGCTTCGTGAGGAAATTCTTAGAGTTCTAGTTCAGAAGACGTGACAAATGGAGTTCAACCCTGTCGGGTGTAGGCAGTAACTACCAAAGATAGATAATGGGTGAGGTCTCGCAAAATCCGTAGATCAATCAGAGTTCGACATGAACATCGTTAGATGCCGGCCCAGTGGTCTAACGGTTAGGTGTTTGCACACAATACCGAAGGTCCTGGGTTCAAATCCTGCGAGATGCAGGAGTCGTGCATGCACATTTCCACTGATGAGTGCCGTACCAGGACGAAACGGCGGTCCAGTGCTTGTAGGTTTCTAATGGTGGTGGTCTAACAATCATTGATTGGTTGATGATTTCAAATGTGTAGAAAAACAGTAATCTCCATTACTCTAATTTGTATTACGGGGTTGTGAAGATTGTTAAGTAACACATTTTTGAAACCATGAATCGATCAATGTTAGACCACCATTACAAACCTGGAAGCACTGAAAGACATTCGTTTCGTCCTGGTGTGGGACTCCTCAGCACTGTGCATCCACGACTCCCGCACCCCGCAGGATTCGAGCCCATGACTTTCGGTATTGTGCGCGAACGCCCTAACCGATAGACCCTTGAGCCGGTATCTAAGGGTGTTAATGTCTAACTTGATCAATTCACGGAGTTGCGCAACCTCATACACAGTCTTCGGTACACACTGCCTGCACCCGAATAGGTTGAACTTCACTGAACTTCACGTCTTCCCACTAGAGCTCGGAGAAGATTCCTCAAGAACATTGATCGATTCATGGTTTCAAAAATGTGAATTACTCTAATCGTAGAAAAAGTATTTATTTAAGTTTTTTGGAAAATTGTATTTTCTCATTTTGTTGTTTGTAAAATCACTATGAAAACAAAAGAGGTGATACTTAAGCCCTGTTATCGTGACTGCGGGTATCATCGGACCAATCAACTATGTCTTTGGTCTTCCTTACCAGTTTCTTTTCATGTCTGTTTCTAATTGTTGGAGCAATGTGTTCCTTGTGTCGTGAAGGAGAACACAGGTGAGGGCAACCGAATTGTGATTATCGCAAATTACAGAGTTACTCAGTAAAATAGGAAAACCATATCGTAACCACCGTTCATTTGCAAAATAACAGTTGATCATATCGAACTGGACTGTTCCTGTTGCAAAACATCAATCCATTGTCACTCACTATTCATGCGTTTCATACAAATTCCATTGTGTTCTTCTAACTCTTCCTTTCTTGATCTTCCCCCATCTTCTGCTGCCAGACATTACGTTTACACTCACGTCATATACTACTTATAAGTAGCTCGCACCACACTTGGTCTAACCCCAAACTGAAACCCTTCTAGGGTTGTTGTCGGTCACAAGCTTGGTAAAAGTTGGAGGGTTAGGTATGGGGTTAGCTATAAAAAATTCGCTGACAAGAACAAAAATTAATTCAAACCATGATTGATTAGCGTAGCTGACATTAAATTATTATATTTTTTCAATTAGATTTATGGAGATTAGTGTTTTTCGTACACATTTGAAATCGTTAATCAGTCAATCATTGTTAGACCACCATTAGAAACCTGGAAGCACTGTTTTACGGCCGTTTCGTCCTCGTATGGGACTTATCACTGGCAGTGAGCATCCACAACTATTGTTACTCATAGGAATCGAACCCAGGACTATCGGTTTTACGCGCAAACGCCTTACCTCCGGACATCCTATACCAGGACGAAATGCCTGTCCAATGCTTACAGGTTTAATAATAATGGTCTAACAATGTTTGATTGGTGATTTCAATGCGTAAATTATGATTACTGATTATTGCTATTATCTTCTATGAAAAATTTGAATAATAAACTAAACGTTGTAGATGTTTGAATAACTAAATTAATCTTTTCATTACTATAATAAGGTAATCAAATCTCTCTTATTCCACCTAGTTTGACATATGGTTATAGTGTGTGTCAGTTGGCCAGACACATACATTGTAGACATACATACATAGACACACATAATCAATGAAGATCGAAGTTGAACACATCACCATGTATTATGGTATGACAATAGTGATTATGAAGACAGATACAAATCAATGATCGTTATATTATATCCCTTTAATCATTAAGATAAGCTTTACAAAGAAAAAAACGCATCAGAAACCATATTGATTACGTCAGTCATTGATTGTTATTGACATAGAACACTGTAGTTGAATCAATCCTTAATGCTAATATGTGTATCTTAAGTGAATTAGGCTAATGTCAAGTTATGCAATAAATGTGACTCTAGCAATCAATCTAGGTACGTGTAGTTCACAAATTCTGAATAGGATGTAATATATATAACCTGAAATTTAGGACGTTAGATCCCCTAGAACTCATTTGGACAAGGTCCTAATACTGTAGTTTTGTTCTGAAATTCTAAATTTCCGTGTTTCGAGGCTGTTATCAAGGACGTTTCTATCATTGTATAAATAAGCTTGATGTGTGTGCTTAGCAACCTCGTACTCTCTGGGTTCTTGTAGAATACACTTTCTACGCCTTATAAAGACTTCTTGATCTAGTTAGTGGGACCGAGGACAAATGGATTAGAATAGCCTATCGTGTGTCACTACATCATTGATCTGCGCTCCTGTTTACTGAGTATGGTGAACTTATAATAGCATTCAAGTATGTCAATTTAGCAAGCATATCACCACTACGTTATGCCTGTTTTGTTTAGATTGTTATGTGAAACACTTGAGATTCGGGCACATTCAATAGGACACACAATGTGAAAAGCACCCAACTACGTCACAAGACAAGCCCTCACATGGAACCCTCAATGTGAAAGGAAAAAATTGAAGACTAAGGAACACATTACGCCCAGAAGTGGTGACAGATATGAAGAGAATAAACCAACATAGGGCAGGGCTGGAAAGGGAATCTCAGGATAGAGTAGGTTCGGGAATACTGGTTGGCGGCCTATGCTTCATTGGGGGTGGGTAACAGGCATAAGTAAGTATGTCAATAAGATAAATGTGACTATAGAAGAGGGGGAACAGACTGTTGATACTCTCGATTGTACTAAAACATTTCTGAATGGGGGGGGGTGGTTAAAGTCAATTTTTTTATGTAAATCAAGTATATTTATGATAAATCAATATTATTTTCTCTTTGTAAAATTTCACAGGTACATGAACTCTGTGATAATTTTTGTTCACGTTATATTACATGTTTACGTGGTAAAATGCCAATTGATTTAGTTATTGAAGATAGAGATTCAGCTGGTTCAACTGGTTCAGGAAATAGTCCACAACCAATTAATTGTTCAATGAATCAATCAACGATGATGATGATGATGAATTCATCATCGAATACAACAACATCATTAGGATTACAACAACAACATGGTAATAGTCTTCCTAGTGCTACACCGACCACGACAACAACACCACCAATTGGAATAAATTTATTTCATAATAATTTGGATGATTCCAGTGGAGGATGTAGTATACAACAGAATTTATCACATTCTACCATTGGGAATTATACAAATCATAATCACCAGAGTAATAATAACAGTCATCAGCATCAACATCAGCAACATCCTCATCAGCAACATCCTCATCATCAGCAGCAACAGCAACAGCATCCTCATTCACGATTTCATGGGGATCCAGCAGCTGCATATGCAGCAGTTGCCGCCGCGGCAGCCGCATCCTCTGTGACACAAATGGGTGGATTATTAGGATTGGGCAGTATGTATCCATGTTCAAATTTATCTAGTGGGTCTAGTAATGCATTTCATTCAATGTTTGGTGGTGCAGGTGCAGCTGGTGGTGTGGGCGCAGGTGATCCCCGGTATCATTCGAATCCACAGAATTCTCCATTATCTGGTTTTTCCGATTCATCAAATTACTATATGCAACAACAACACCCTCAACACCCTCAACACCACCCTCATCATCAATCACATCATGGTAGTCATACAAATTATCCTGGTTTGTATTCAAACCAATCGGGGTTTGGTGGCAGTAGCAGCAGTGGTGGTGGTGGTGGTTTGGACTTAGGTATAGGTGGGGGTGTTGGTGGCGCAAATGATCTTCGATCATCTTATACAAATCATCCATCATTATCCGGTAATTTTATTACTAATAATAGTAATAACAATAATAATGCACAAAATTTTATTGGTGGACATTTACCAATTGGACACGGTGGAACCGGATTCGGTCAACATCAATTATCCGCCGATGCATTGTCATCATCTTCATCATCTGGAATGGTTGGACGATCAAAAGTGAGTGATTAATCCTTCTGTCATTCTCCCCCGCCCCTTCTCTTCAAATTTTGAACAATCAATTGTACCGATTTGTTTGTTTATGTATGTGTGTGAGTGTGCGTGTGTGTTTATTGATTGGAACAAGAGAAATAAAATAAAATAACTTTGTATAGTTACATTTTTCAATTTGATTTATGTGTCTAATTGTATAAGTACACACAGTGTGACATGACGCGTTATCGATTAGTGGGAATTCATGACTATGCACACACACACACGCATATGCACACATGTAAAACATGAAATGATCATATGATCGAACTTGAATCGAGAGAGAGGAAAAGTAGATGCCACAGCTGAATTGACGAGTGGATTATGGTGTCGGTTCACTGTAAAGTCAGTGATGACTGATCTTATATCATATAGGCATGAAATTAATTGAAAACCTTCTATTTACATCTTCAAATATACTCTGTTATATGATTTATATTCTAGAGATCCGATTCACTGAGTTGGTTGTGGAGTCTTTCTCCTAAACAACATCATCATCAGCATAAACTTCAGGTCAACAGAAATGAAGTACTTCTATTCACGCTAATATTTTGATTGTATCCAAGGCCAACAGAACAACTTACAAGTTATACATACTGTGTGGAGAAATTCAAGTACTTCATTTCTATCTACCTGAAGTTTGTGCTGCTGCTAATGATGTTGTCTGTTGACACTTTGATTTTGAATCACTCATTCGGTATACTGGGACGTTTTCTCTCTCTTATTGTACTTGTCTGTAACATACTTTTTTGTATTGGAAACTTCGCGATATCATCGTACGCCTATTTATCACGAATCACTTTCGTGCTTATCAAATATATCAATGTCTATGATAATTTTTATACTAAAATATTATAAATTATAAGTAGTAGACAGATTTTAGTTTGTTTCTATTTCTAAATGCTTACTAATCACAACTTATTCAATGTTCAATGAATACCAAAACAAGTTTCAAACATAGCTTAGAAAATGTCATTTAGGATGGATGCATGAACAACAAACTATTATCATACATTTTCTCATTCAATGATCAATTCCTTTTTATACATAGACCAATAAATTTGAATGTTAACGCTGTTATTAAAAAAACGAGTACTAGGTAAGAATGGCAAATCAATAGATGAAGTAATGAAACTTCATCTGATGAGATGGTTGGAACATGTGCTGCGTATGTCTACGAGCTTTGTTTTTTAGTTTAGGAATAGGTTTGAAGAAAGTTAGGGGCGGCCAAACCAAAACATGGCAGAAATCTATGAAGTCACTGACAAGTGGACTGAGTCATGTTGGTAGTTGTCGACTACCTGGTTGGTGTCCGCGAGATGATAATAATCGATGGTTAGAGACCTTGAATGACATGGCTCAAAATCGTTCGCAATGGCGCCGGTGCATTTATTCTTTGTGTTCTCCCTAATCCTAATCTTCTGGATTCTTCAACACCTCTAGTTTTGATTTTGTAAACTTTTCTCATTTAATCATACTTCTTGAATAATATCTTCTAATCTTAACCTCTCCGATTACTTCTAATACCTTTACTACCTCTTCTACTATTGGATTTGAATTGACAATTACATCTCTCTGTATGCTAATGTGGTATGGCAATATGAACTGATGTACGTACTTACATACAAAGTTCTACGTTGCATCTGACTGACTGATTGACTGTGAATGTTAACCCTTTGATGATTCTTTTTTTTTCAAACTATTCAATGTAAAATTCAATTATTGGCGAGAATATGATCGTTTGGATTCAATGATCAATTGATCAGCATACTCTGTATTGATTAAGTATTAGTCTTTAGCAAGCATACTGTCAATATTATTCTTGATATATTTTTCCTTCTTGTACATTGAATGGTTTGCTTATTTTGATGATTGACATTTGATTTATTGATAATGATCAGTCGATCAATCATTCGATCAATGTATCAGTCAATCAGTTTATCAACTAGCGCACTGTTAGCATACTGGATATCTCTCCGTTAAATAGAACAATAACACCGACACTGACACAACAAAATTGACCAAGGTGTTAAATTATCGCCTCTACTGTAGCCTTATTCATTCATTTACACATGGTCAATGTGATGTTAGCTCAGTAGCAGTAGCTGTAGTAATGATCATTCATGTCTGTTTGTCTATCGCTCTGTACATGTATGTCATCTGTATATATGTGTAGGCAAGCTGAATCGGTATGAATCGGTTATGATGATACGAGATGAATGATCATTGGAAAATACAGAGTGTAATGATCACAATATTAGTTTTTTTAAATGAAAATGAATAAAGACGGTAGATTCTTTTGTTGAAAAAAAAAGAAAAAGGAGAAAGATATAGCGAGATAGATAGTTAGGGAGAGAGAGTTAGAGAGAGAAAGGCGTTTCAAACAATCATACATATACTGCAGAGAAGAAAAGTGTCGGTCTTTTTTTTATCTTTCTTTCTTGAAATATCTTTTATTCTGATATACAAAATAATAAGACGGACGGTATAGTACAAAAGAAAATTGTTTTCATCGGCTGTGATGTGTGTGTGTGTGTGCATTTCAACTGATCATACTACTTTCTTTCCATTATTCTCGTAGTAGTAGTAGTAATAATAATCATAATAATAGTGAAGTTCAAATAAGTATCATGAATTCATGGCACTCTGTCTGTCTGTCTATCTCTCTCTCTCCTGTACACACACACACACACACATAGGCCAAACACACACCAAACAACTCTCTTATCAACTTCTATTTATCTAATAGTAGTAGTGGTAGTAGTACAGTCAGTCAAAGTAGAAGAATCACAGAAAACAACAAGTAACTAACTGTCTATCATTTGTCGGCGGCAGCAGTATATGTAGATGACCTTTATGGTATTAGAATTTCATGTTGTTTTATTTTGATGATGTTCAAAGGAGATGATGATATGATTAATTTATTGGTATTCTGTATTCTTGTACTTTTTATTTTCGGATTTTTTTATTTTCTTCAAAAAATACACATCATACAACACTAGTAGTAATGTCAATAAATAAATAATTTGCATTACGGGGTTGGTGTGAAGATTGTTAAGTTGCACATTTTTTTTGAAACCATGAACCGATCAATGTTAGTAGACCACCATTAGAAGAAACCTGGAAGCATTGAAAGACGGCCGTTTCGTGGTCCTGGTATGGGACTCCTCAGTAGCAGTGCGCATCCACGACTCCTGCACCGCGCAGGAGTGCATGGTTTCATGGTTTCAAAAATGTGTAACATAACAATCTTCACAACCCCTTAATGAAAATTAGCTGTGCTCACTCATGACTAGCTTCGTGAGGAATCTTCTCCGAGTTCTAGTGGGAGGACGTGACCAGTTGGGGTGTAGACAGTAACTACTACCGAAGACTGTGTATGAGGTTGCGCAACTCCGTGAATTTGATCAAGTTAGACATTAACACCATTAGATACCGGTTCAGTGGTCTGACGGTTAGGGCGTTCGCGCACAATACTGAAGGTCCTGGGTTCGAATCCTGCGGGGTGCGGGAGTCGTGGATGTACACTGCTGAGGAGTCCCATACCAGGACCACGAAAAGGCTGTCCAATGCTTTCAGGTTTCTTATGGTGGTCTAACATTGATCGATTCATGATTTCAAAAATGTGTAACTTAACAATCTTCACAACCCCGTAATACAATTATTGTTGTCATACCCCACTTTAAATAGATTTCACTTAAATAAAATAAAAAAAGGACTAATAATCTATTTGAAGTATCATTTTAGAAAGGAAAAAAAACTAATTGAACATTGAATCGTTCATTGTTCAATATTCAAATAAATCATCATTGTGTATAATATATACATGTGATTAAGAATTGAATGATTTCAGTCTGTAATAATAATTATTAGTAATTGATTTTTGTATGCATGTCGTGGTTGTAGAGATTGTTGTGCGTATCCATGACTCCTTAATTGCGCAGGATTCTAACCCGGGACCTTCGGCATTGTAGGCGAACGCCTAACCGTCGTACCACTGAGCCGGTATCTAACGGTGTTAATATCTAACTTGATCAAATTCACGGAGTTGCGCAATCTTATACACAGTCTTCGGTATTAGTTACTGTCTACACTGCTGAGGAGTAGTCCGATACCAGGACGAAACGGTAGACTTTCAATTATTTACTTACTTACGCCTGTTACCCCAGTGGAGCATAGGCCGCCGACCACCTTTCTCCAACCTAGTCTGTCCTGGGTTTCCCTTTCCAGTTCTGTCCAATGTTTGTTCATTCTTCTCATCCCTTTCTCTATTTCTCGGCGTAATGTATTCTTTGGCCTTCCTCTTTTCCTTTTTCCCTGAGAGTTCCAACTGAGGGCTTGTCTTGTGACGCAGTTAGGTGCTTTACGCAGTGTATGTCCTATCCACTTCCACCGCTTCATTTTCACAATAGAGATTACTTAAATTTAATCCAATAAGTTTCAAAAAATCTTACTAGCAAGGTTTACTTAATTACAATTCTAACTTTGACCAATTTGTAATATGAGAGAATGAATTGTTGCACAAACGGTCAGTCATAAAATCCAACTGACATAGACATTGATAGAATTAAAATCGTTTATTGTTTTTTAATTAAATGACCAATAAAAACTGTTGTTTCGTTCTAACATGAGACTCCTTGATAATGAGCTTCGGGTAACTAAACCTAGGACTTTCGAGTTTCACATGAAGATTTCTAATCATGATTATGGTGATTGTTGAGTTTCATGGAAATTATAAATCGATAGATGAGGTCATTCAACAACTCGGATTAATCAAAGCTAGACATTAACACCCATGAATGCCAATCTAGTCTAGAGGTTACGCGACCCCACGGCACATATCGACGGTTCTGACTTGAATTCCCGTGAGCATTGGTTGTGGATGCACACTACCACAGGATGAGTCTCACACTAGAAACAAAACATTCCTTGCAGTGCTTCCAGATTTCTAATATCAGTCTAACATC